TGTATAATTTGTTTTCTTAACAGAGCGGAGCGATTTAAAACTTAAGATATATAATTTATTTCCTTAATAATAAAAACACCTAAAACCTTTAAGTTTTATAATTTGATTTCTTGATTCAGAATATATCTTAAACTTTCAAGTTCTATAATTTATATTAAGAAAGGCCCATTTAGAAAGTTCTGATGTGAAACAAAGTGAAGCATTTAGGCCTACCTGGAAGGTTCTGATGCATAACAATATTTTGCTTTTTACGACACACATCAAGGTAACGTATTTTACATATCAGACCACATGCGAACTATCATATATCGGTTTGACGATTGAGGTCAATTTCTGTCGTCAGGTCACATGTGACATAGTCGATTTCCAACATCAAGCCACATCGTGATATGTGATATACCTGATCCAATTTCTACGAGAATGATGTGTATTTTATATTTTATAATACACCAGCCTTATCATGAGATTGATAGGCCGAATGTATTTTACATGTCATTTGTAAAAGTCAATAGCCAGGTAAGTGACGAAAAAAGTAGATTATCTTCGATTATATATATATGAAGGTAGGTATATGCTATCAGGTATGTTATCAGATATGCTATATATATGCTATTATCAATTGCCGGGCGGTCACATAATAGCTAACTTATTTAATTTCTGGTTTTGACGAAAGCCGGCATAAAATGCCGAGGTCACAGAGCGAGAAGGTGGGTTATTGCGAGAAAGCAGGTGAAGAAGCAGGTGAAGAAGCAGTGATCTTGTTAAGCTAGCGAGAGTAAAATTGCAAAACATAAAATCCTTTTTCTCTCTAGTTCAGAAATAGAAAAGTAGTTAACTTAATTAAGATCTGGTTTTGAGTAGATACTGTGAAAGGTGGGATATAACAAATTAGTTAACTATACCTATCTGGATATGAACTTGTGAGTGGACAGGATATATAAGTAAAATAAATATTTTTTATTTAAACAAAAGATCTGAATAATTAATATATAATAAAAACCACCAGAAAATATGGTAGGTAAATGTTCAGGATGTGGATGGAGCCCTAAAACTGGGAAAACAAGAGATCTTAATAAGCATATAGATCTAACATGAAATAGGCCATGCCTAGCTTTATTATAACTATCTCGTAATACTCAACCTATACCACAAGTAACTGTACCAGTTCCCAATATAAAGAATACACTTTCTTTAAAAGATCTCAAACCTATAACCAATTCAAATTTGCAGTCTCAGAATTATAATGCTAGAAGGCCAGATGAATCTGTTAAGCAGTGGGGATCAAGATTATGAAAAAGACATAAGTATCTAAGTCCTACTACAGATCGAGATCAACCCAAAAATTTAGCAGAATGCAAAGCTCTTTATGATGAATTATTGCAAATGGATGAAGAAGCATATATTCTGCAAAAGCCTCTAACAGAAGAAGAAAAGTATAAAGAGCAAGAATTCTTTGGTGAACCTAAAATCGAGGAGGCAAATCTTCAGCATGAGCCATCTCAAATGGTACAGCTGGAAATTGATCCCAAAGCTGGTCCGGGTCCTCAAACCCAAGCTCATCATGAAGGTAGACTTACTGAATCAGAAGAAATAGTAACTCAACAAACTACACCATTAGATAATATAGAATTGTAACCTGTTCAAGAATTGCTTATTCACAAAGAAGGATTTCTAGATTTAGATGTAGAAGTATCATGATCAGTTCGATTTCTATATAACGAAGAGCATCATATAATATGGCAAAATAGAATTCAGTATGCAAAAGATATGTTCAAAGTAGATGGAGCTGAATATGTTTTCTCAACCTGGTTTACAGAAGCTACAGATATTGATTTGGTCAGTGTAATATTAGAAGCAGAAAATGAAGATGAAGCTATGCAGAAGGTATTTTTACAATGTCTATATCGGAATTATTCAGAAGAAAAAATCAATAAAATCATAAAATTGGCAGTAGATACATATAGAGTATCAGATAAAGGGAGTAAAAACTGGTTGATATATATGGAAGATCAAATAGAATCAAAAAAATTCGAAGCTGAAATGACTGAAAGGCAAGCCTGAGAAATTTTAAATACGATCGATAATAGCAAGTTCTTAATAAGAGTAAAATTCATTCGAGATAATTCTGTATATAAAGATAAACTTCAAACAAAGATAG